GGCGTTGCCGTGCGGGAACGGGCCCTGCGGCCGCGGAGCTCGCCCCGGCCAGCGCCGTGCTGGGCTTAACTTCGCTCACGTTTAAAAAACGTGGCTATTGTTAAAAGAGGAGTTTCACGCGTGTTTTGGGGCGGGGGGGGCTGTTGTGCTTGACGAGCTGTGTACCCGTGAGGAAACGTTCCCAGAGCTGTCATTTCTTAAAAGCTGCATTCCACAGAGGTGGTGTCTTTTTTTTTTTTTTCTGGTGACCTCCAGAAATAAAATGCAGTTTCCTTTGTCTGTTCTAAGTAAAACATCTGGGTTTCCAAACATGATGCGGTGCAAACCTCGAACAAATCGGAAATGCCTGTTTTCCGATTTCTTTGTTGTCACTAGGCCAGTTCAGTAAACATTTCCTACCTCAGGGTCTCAGATACAAGACACTGCTAGTAACAGCTTCAGATAGCTATTTATCTTGGTAGTTATGCAATATGAGCGAGCAGATACATTAAGTGTTTTGTGGCTGAGCGGTACAAAGATTTCCTTTTACTCATACAAAAATCTAGTCCATGGACTGTACCTTTTTAAATCTGCATGTATCAGAAATTCTTAAAAGCGGACTGCAAACTAAAAACAAAAGTGTGCAGCTTTGAGCAGAAAAATTAGAAATATGTTATTGCATAGGGCAGAGACACTGGTTTTTGGCAGCAATTTCAGAAACTGAAAGTAGGTTGCAGCTACTGTGGGACTGTTCTGACATGTTCCTGTACTGTTCTTCCACAGAGCTTCTTGAGAAAGGCTGGCTGAAGGAGTACCTGTGTTGAGGTAACTGCTTTTCCCATCGCACGCAATACGTTCTGACAAAGTGAAGCTTCCTGTCAGTGCTTTTATTATTAAACTCCTGGTTTCTTGAGGAACAATGAAGAGCTGTATGTTCCAGCTAAAGCTCTCAGGGCAGAGTCTTGGGGAGGTAGAGATTTGATAATTGTTTCCCAACAGTTACAGCTTGAACCTTCTCTGATTCATTCAGGCAGGGCTGAGAGGTGAACATGACCTTTTTCCTGTTTTATTCAAAAAGAGAAGCTCGAAATGAGAAGATCAGCATCCAGTGGTGGAAAATTTTAAGGCATATTTTCAATTTTAAATAGGTGACTGGTCCCATAGAATTCAGTAAAACCATCCACATCCACAAGACTGTACTGAGCACAGTGTGCTCCAAAAACAGTTCCCGTTTAGCTTAAGCTGGTAAAGATTAAGGGGCCTAGAGTTAATTTTAAAAATATCCTGTTCATTAGGCTTTCCGTGTCCCCAGGGTACGGATAAAGAATCAAGGAAGGCAAAATAGCAAAGATGGCACTACTATTTTTTTTTTTTTTTAAGTTGGACCAGCTGATGCATTTGGAAAAAGAGGTCAGTTTTGATGAAGGGACTCGGAGCCTGAAAGTGTCCTATTTCTATGTGTTAGTCAAAGATACTATGGCTTTGTCACTTGTCTTAAATCAAGATGTTACGCGACATTATTTGGCTTCTCTGTGAAGCTGCATGAAATTGTTCAGTAGTCTGTTAAGCATCTCTTCACAGATTAGAGTTCCTCGTTACAACCACAGCAGCCTTTTCTAGCATTTGGAATGACTCCTTCTCTCTCCAGTTTTGCTTCACTACTCCAGTTTGTTGAGTTCCAAAGAGTGCTGGAAAAATATTGTTATAAAATTATCCTTGAGGCCTGTGTTCTGCCAAGGCAAGGTGCTAGGCAAGCTTTTCAGCTCCTAGGATAACTGTTGCTGAAATGGCTTATTCGTTTATTGTTTTGTTACTGTCAGTGATTCAGAGCACATAGCACTGGAAATTTTCCAGTGTCCTCAAAATGTGAAAACAAAAGAGGGAGGTGACCATGCTGCTGGAGTTGTTAACTCAAAGTTAATCGAAATTCTCAACCTTTTTCTTTTTTTTTTTTTAATGATATAGGCTTTTTATATCTGCTTGGTTTCCAGCCAATAATAATAGTGTGGATCCTGGCCTGTGTTGTTAATATCACTTTTTTTTTTTTTTTTTTAAAACAGTCACAATTGAGGTTCCCTAAACTATGCTTACGAAGCGCAAACTCTTTTTGTCTCCTTTTATTACTGCACCTTACTGAGACATGTTTAAAGTTTTTCGTATGTCCATGGACCACCATGAAAGTGTTTATTGTGCACGTAAACATGCAGATATGAGAATTATGGGACTCATATTTTTAGAAATATATTTGTTTATTGGTAAATTCCCCAGAGACTGAAGATCAGTTATCAGTGTTATTGATGTTTTAAGTCTGATTCCCTCTTGCTCAGGTTAATTTGAAACAATAATCGTATTTCTAGTGATTGATAAAGTAATATAATAAATAACTAAATGTTGTCTTCAGATCAGCACAGTATAGGTAGCATGGAGTCCCTAGACACCACATGCCAAAGTACTTGTGTCTTGAGCTGCAGGTTTCTTTGATTTTTTTTAATCCAAGTTTCATGCAAACAAGCTCATTAGATTTGTATCTCTTTGTCCTGCATGTTAATGTTTGACAAGATCACCGCATTTGTTTTCACATCCTACCTGCTGAGCTAGGATGTAAAATCCAGTTTCTAGAGGAGAAAGTCTAGTTTTAATCAGCCTACTCTCAGTTTAATGGAGTACAGTGTGTGCATGGTATGTAAGGCCAGTGAAGTTATGCAAAATGTGTAGGAACTAATGGGAATTTTTATTTACTGCTTTTAGGGCTCTTCATCATTCAAAGATGCTATGGGATCCAGACAGTCTGTGATTTTTGAGATTAAGAAGAAGAGTGCACAGCGTGTCACTGTACTGCTGTTTTAATTTTGAGATGTGAGTTTACCATTTACAGCAAATCCATCTCTTTGGCTTGATAGCATACCTGAAACTGAGTTGGCAGCTGTACTCCTGCAGTTATGTCTGTGTATTTAGCACCTTTATGCATTTTTGAAAACGTCCATCCCACATTTTAGAAATTACTAGCGTTATTCATGTGTTTCCTTCTCTCCCTGCCAATGCTGTGCTCACTTACCTACGATATCATAATACTACCACTCAATAGTGGGTCAGAGCTGTGCTAGCTGACCTCCCTGGGTCCAAGTTTAGATTTGTTTTGACCTCTTTTAATCCTAAAGATGGATTTCTTAATCTCTAATATACTAACATTTGAAGCAATCTTACCTTCTTATGGTCTATGAGAGCAAATCTGACATGTAACTGAACTGAACTATCCTTTCCTGTCCTAGAATCTTTCTGCTGCCAAGTGAGCCTTGGTGAGAATGGGGGATACAAGAGATATCTGTCCTCACCTGGATTCCATAGGAGAGGTGACTAGGGACGATCTGCTGCTCAAATCCAAGGTACAGGATGTTCTGGTTGTTGTTCCGTTCCTTTTTAGCTTCTGTGAATGGCTATGCGTGTTTGCTTTGGGAAGGAAATGCTGCCAGTCTCCATAGGTGAGAAATGGAAAGTCTTCCTCCTGTACTGATATACCTTGCAGGTGTCCCATAAAGTAAGCCTTTGTTAATCCCATCTGGGGTATTTCTCACTGTCATTTTATCCTGCTCAAATATGTCACTTATCTAACACATTGCAAAGTGTATATTTAATTGGAGGTGTAGTTTTAAGAAACAAAATACTGTGAGGTAGAGGTTGGGAGGACTGTCTCATAGAGAACTTTCTCACTCTTGAAGGAGTAGATTACTTAAAAACAAACCAAGAAAAAACAAACAAAACTTTTATCATGGTTGCAGGGAACTTGCCAGTCTTGTGGAGCTGTGGGACCAAATCTCTGGGCTTGTCTTCAGGTAAAAATAACTTGCTATTTGTGTGCATGATACAGTGGGACTTCTCTTTTAAAATTTCTGAATATCATAGGAATGTGTTGTACTTAAAACAACAACAAAGCTGGAAGCCAAGGTGGGGTCACAGTAGACATATCTACCAGTTTTTGATGAAATTCTGAGAAAAAGGTTCCCTAGACTAAATACTAATGCTGTCAGAATATGCCAAGATATAACATTTCTCTCCTCATAGGTGATTTCCCTCTGGTAGTCCGAGTAGGAATAAACATAACGCCCAGCACTGACTGACTGGCTGGGTCCTGCTTCTGCTGGCAACTGTCACAGGAGGCTGCAGGTGTGAGAACCTGGAAGACATTACTCGGAGCAATGAGGCAGAAAGGAATGACAAAGGGCTCTCTCGAATAAAATCGGAGTTGCAATCTTGGAACAGAGTCAGAATGCCATCTTGTTTGAAACAGGCCAGGTTCAGATATAGCGTAACTGGACCTTTTTTGGCCATAGCGGAGCTTGACTCACATATGCCAGCTTTTTTTTCTTGATCCCTGTCACCCTGACTGTCAGCAGGGGTTGGGGAGAAGTGTTTCTTGGTTGCTTGTGAACCCTGTGCAAGCAGAATTGCTAAAGCAATGAAAGTCTCTTATCTCCATGTGCCTGCACACTGCAGCCACTCTGAAGCGAGGGATTTGTCAGCCTTCTGAAACAGATGGATGATGGAGAGATTTTCAACAACATTACCAAGTCACTCACTTAAAAAGCGAGAGTAAAAATGCTGGGCGTAGAGTCCTGAGGTCGTTTCACAAGAATCATTAGCTTGGAAAGGATAATAAAGAGCACGGTTGAGAAGGGCCTAAGTTATAGACAGTACAGCTGGTTGGGTGACGTTGCAGTTTAGGATAGCATGTGTGTGTACTATGATCATAACACTTATAATCTCTCCTGTTATGCCACAAACATACATGGTAATTTTCAACAATGCAGATGAGATTCCCTTAGCTAAAGAAGTTGCAGTTCTTGTCAGTGTCATTTTGTTGCTTTTGTTAGATATATTTTAGGTAACTTTTCTGCCCAGTCACTGATACAGTCCACCAGTACTCCTGGAACTGTTGCTGTGAGGCAGAAGGAAGGAAAATATCACTGATTTTTTTTCTTATCCGTAAACACTATAAGCAGCAGCTGTGGATTGTCCAGTGTCTATCTCTTTCCCAAACAGCTGCTCCTGTTCATCCCGGCCCATTATTATGGGGACTCACCTATTTTGGAAAGATCACTCTTGTATGAGGTGCTGTGTGGTCTAGAGCAGTGGTTCCTAAACTTTTTCTACCACAAGAATATGGTGTTTTGCTAAAGTTTTTGGATTCCTTTTCACTTCCCACCTAGGGTTAGACAACGCTTTGACTTTTCAGAACTGGTGATCTGGTCTCCGAAGGGGATGGAATGGGCGGTAGCTCTGTTGCTGTTGTTCACCTTCCTCCACCATCGCTTTCTGCTCAGGTCTTGCCACTTCTTCCTTCCTTTCTTAGCAGAAGTAGAGAGAGTACAGTGCAGCAGGGGAGCTCTCTGTGCTGCAGTCCCCCCTCTCCTTTCTTGAAGATGTTTATGTGCCATCTAATGTAGAAGATTCTACAGTGGACCTCTATTACCTGTACGAGGCTCACCCTCCATCCCAAGGACCTCATTTGGCAAAACATTTTGCTGTAGCTGTCAAAGACTGTGACAAGTTTTGTGATGCCTGCTTTTCAGGGAGCATTCCTCAGTATATGAAGACTGAGAGAGGCTTTAGCTAATGACACTGCAAAGACTCACTATTCATAGAAGTATCATTTCTAGTCCTTTTCAAAGCATACTTGTTAAAAAGGAAGGAAAAAACCCAAGGTGCTTAACTCAGGTTTGCTGGGGAAGAAGAGAATAACAGGATGACTGTAGAATCACTGGTCTTCTTTCATCAAAGGATCTGAATTTCATTGCGTGCCAGGGAGTGATGCGATTTTTACACTGAAACATCTAGCTGTTTGGAGACTGGTGTGCTCATTGTACCTATGCTCTCTTCTGTCACTAGGTTGGTTGTCCTTATGTTGGTTGTGGGGAATCCTTTGCTGACCACAGCACACTTCATGCACAGGTGAGCATTTCTCTGTTGGCCACCTTAAGACAGAGCTGGATTTTTCCCATTACCTAATTCTAATCTGTCCTATTCTGATAGTTTTGTGCTTCCCTTTGAGTTTAGCTGTCAACATATCATGTTCGTTGTTTCACCTTTTAATTTTTAGGCCAAAAAGCACAACCTGACAGTGAACCTGACCACTTTCCGGGTCTGGTGTTACGCTTGTGAAAAGGAGGTGTTCTTGGACCAGCGGCTGGCAACGCACACTCAGTCACCGCCAGTAAAATTCACGGAACCGGTAGGTCTGTTTGACAACGTGGCAGGAGAGCGTAGCTCAGTGGGCCTGAATGCTTGGCAGGGTTTTTGTTTACTTGTTGCAAAATTAACCAAGAAGTTTTCACTATTGTCCGGGCCTTCATTATGATAGGAACTCTTTCACTGAAAGTGTCTACTTGTAGTCAGAGGATCAATAGGCTTGCCTTATATAGGATCTCCCAGCAAGACGACTTCCAAATTACTTGAATATCCGTGCTTTTTGTTTGTCCTTTTTTTTTGTTTTTAATCTTTTCTAGCCCTTTCCAGGAGGCATCTGTTTCTAGGAGGAACCACAACTGTCACATCTCTATTTTCACTGCATGGTCCTTCAAATTTTTTTAGCTGCCAGATTAGAAACACATGTACTAGTGACATTACTGCGTATTCTTGATGCCCCTTGTGTCATATGTAGCGGAAGCAGTAATGGGACTATTTCTACTCCCTCCTTGCGTTAGTGAGAAGGGTAGAGAGTGCAATTGGTCCTTCTCTTCCCAACGCGCTTTCTGTAACGGCAGGCTAGATGTATGTATACAGATAACATCTCTCACAACCCATCTTTTAGAGCAATCCTCTCACCGATGCTCTATTTCTGTGTCTTTAATCTAGGACTCTCCATTGCCTGCTCACCCTTTGAAAGCTGTTCCTATTGCAGTGGCTGATGAAGGTGAATCTGAATCAGAGGATGATGATTTGAAACCAAGAGGTAACTCTGCACCCAGCTGATGAAAAGGCGGGGAGAGTAGCTCTGCAATCTGTAGGGCCTGCCTTGAGAGGTCCCTAGTTTCAATAAGAACAGGGCGTGGAGCCTGCCTAGAAAGAGCCATATTCCCTCTCCTTTGGGGGAGGATTGTAGAATGCAGCAGTTCTAGACAGTCTTTTGACAACGTCTCTTGTTTGTGCTTTAGGCCTTACTGGAATGAAAA